TAACAGTGACGAGCCGTTTGGTGGAAAAGTTTTACTTCTTTCTGGGATCTTAGACAGGTTTTCCCGTTGTGAAACACGGATCACGAGTGAAACAAATTGATGCGTCCATGAAAATGTCTCCTTTGTGGAAACCTTTTGAGGTTGATCAACTCACCGAAAATATGCGAATCTTAAGTTTTGGCAATGATAAAATGGCACGAATGTATGACCACTTTTTGATGCGCATTGGGAATGATGATCATCCTCGTGTTGTTTCTAATGAACCTGCTGCGGTCAGATTGCCACGCGAGATTTGTACGGATAAACCGATTGATGAGTTAATTTCATGGACGTTTGATGATGTGTCCAACCATATGGGGGATGCTGATTATTTCTTGCCTCGGTTAATTTTATGCCCTACAAATGACAATGTCGCTTGTGTTAACAACCGTGTTCTTGACGATTTTTCTGGGGAGGTGCGTGACTTTTTTAGTGTTGATTATCCTGATTCGGATGATATCGGGCTCAGTATTGAGCGCGAGTTTTTAAACTTTCTCGACGAATCTGGCCTTCCACCTCACAAGTTGCGCTTAAAAATTGGTGCACCTGTGATACTTTTGCGAAATTTGTCACCAAAGCAAGGACTTTGCAACGATACAAGGCTGATTCTGAAGAAGATCGTTAATGATGATTTGTTGGAAGTGACAATAATGCACACGGGTAAGGCAACACTGATCCCCAAGATTGATTTGACAAGCGATGGTGAGACCACGGGGTTCAAATGGTTTAGGAGGCAATTTTCAGTCTGTCTTGCTTTTGCTGTCACGATTAACAAGTCGCAAGGACAAACTGTATCGTGTGCACAAACCAATTTTTGCGCATGGCCAACTGTATGTTGCTTTGTCGCGTGTTGGTCATCCCAACAACATCCGTGTTGAATTGCCTGATAATATTTTTTTTACGAAGAATATTGTATATCATGAACTTTTAGGTTGAGTCATTTTTTTTCTTTTCGTCGAGCCTTAGCATTCCAAATAATTTCGTCCACTTTTTTTTTTGCAGGCGACTCCCGAATGCCGCATAAGTACAACACTCGTGCTAAAAGGAAAGCAATGACAATCGGCAATACCATTTAATATGATACGAATGTTGCATCAAAAGTTGGAACCGATTATTCGGAGAGGTCGAAAAAGAGTGGAAATGATGAGAGGTCAGTGAATCTTGGAAGTGAACATGCTCGAGGCGATCATGCTCCTCTTGGTGAAGTTGAACATCGATGTTCAAGAGGGAATACCCTTGAGGATGCTGATAATATGTTTGTGGAGGAGGGTGGTGACGGTTGTCGTGCTGATGGGGATGGTTCACGCAGAGGTCTGTCGGGTGGGTCTAATAACCTTACATTTTCCGGTGACCAGAATTATGACAGTACAGGTGATTCGAAAGAAGAGTACATTAATTCTACATTCAGGAGAAAAAAGAGACGTGGTAGGAAATCTAATCTTTTGGATTCGCCCGAATTGCTTGAGCCCACATTCGCTAATAATCAGGCGGGACGATAACCTGTTGTTGTTGAAACCGGAACTCAGGTTTTGAGAGCGCTGAATGCGCTTCCTCCCGATGCGCTTGGATCTCTTCCGTTGTGTCGACAGGTCGGTGGACTTGGACGTGCTCGTGATTCATGTTTGCAATCTCAACGCAGTAGACACGAAAAAAATGTTTGCACCACATCGCAACCACAAGATCGTTTGGGGGTTATTGTTGTGTCGCATAATGAAAATGCACGCAGTGACGCAGAATCCGCACTCCGAATCCGCGCGCTTATATTGGTAGATGGTTTGACGATGTGAAGAAGGTTGACATCCAAAATGTTTTGACTGAGATGCTTTTTGAAATGTTCGTCAAAAGTGTCACAGTCGTAAAAGACGGACTAATATGAGAAAACTTCCTCGAGTGGAAAAGAAACAAACTCACTGATATGCGGCTGGAACGAAAATCCCCTCTTCCTTCAGACCCGTTGAATGTTTCGGATTTGGAGACTTCTTCCATGTTGAATTCACTTTTGACCGATGAGTATGTTGCTCTCTCTAATGAGGAGATTACTAGGACGACATTTGATTTGCCACATTATCTGACAGGAGGGACGATTCCCCAACCCTTTCACAGATATGCACAGATACAACAACTTCTGAAAAAGATTCCTCCTGTGGTTGCTTCTTCCGCTCCTCATTCCGCTCCGGTCCGTAGACTCCCCCTCCAAGCAACATCTCCTCCAAATTTTCAACATCTTGCAGATTATGCTTCACCCTCCAATATGCCAACGTCGATTGTTACTAATTCTATTGTTGTTTCTGCTTCGCCGACTGCTATGGCTACCCCGTCTCCTGTCAGTTGTGTTGTGCACGCTCTTACGCCATCAAGAGACCATTTGCATGTCCATACAGCCTGATGATACAGGACCATTGGAACAACCAAGTTCTTCTAATTTTAACATCACCATTTACGACTCTCTTGAATCTGTTGGTCTAAAAAAAACATTTGCACACCTGTCCTATCTCGACAAGGTCGATTCGAAACTTTTGAGGAGTATCGTTGTAAAGTGTTGCAACAAGTTTCTGTTCGTGAGGTACTGCAAGAGGATCGTAGTGAAGGAAGTTGATCGGTCTTATAAGAGAGATAGGAAGAGAGAGATGTTGATTGGGCTGTCGTCCAGGCGTTGCCTTAATGGCAGATTTTTTTATGGTCAGCTTCGGTTTCGGTTAAGTAATTGCCCTTACAAGAGAGATAGGAAGAGAGAGGTAAATAAATGGGGGGCTGGAGAGAGAGAGATAGAGATAGAGAGAGAGAGATAGAGATAAAGAGAGAGAGAGAGAGAGCAACAAAAGAGCGAAGAATAAAGAAAGACCAACACTAGTATAAAAAGAGAAGAAGTCAAAATTATTTTCGTATCTCTCAGAGAGAGAGAGAGAGAGAGAGAGAGAGAGAGAGAAAGAGAGAGAGAGAGAGAGAAAGAGAAAGAGAGAGAGATAAGAAAATAATTTTGAGGGGTAACTTCAGCGCACTCACGAAAACAGTTTGTAATTGCAATTCAGGCAATCCCGCGAATACAACACACCCCCGGGTGACCCCACCGGACCCTAAAAGTAGGTCATATACATTCAGCATTACCGGCCCTTTTGCCTCAAGTGCAATTACAAACTCAAACCCTGACTGCGCCGTAGTTTTCTCTAATTTTGACTTCTTCTCTTTGTATACTAGTGTTGGTCTTTCTTTATTCTTCGCTCTTTTATTGCTCTCTCTCTCTCTCTCTCTCTCTCTCTCTCTCTCTCTCTCTCTCTCTCTCTATATATATATATATATATATATATATGTCTCTATATTTTCCTTTCTTTCTATCTGTCTTTGTGTATCTCTGTCTCTCCTCGCCCTTTCTCCTACTTTTTTTTTTAATGATTTTTTAGCCTACCAGACAGGCGGCCCGGTTCCCGGGTGGCCAGCCGGTGGAAGGAGCAGGAAAGGTCCCAGCAAAAAAAAAAAAAAAAAAAAAAACCAAATCCAAAAACTCCAAAACAAAACTATTTTATGCAGAAAAATAAACTGAACAACTTTTGCCCTAGGGTTACATCGAAATCCTTCATCAAATTTAAATAATTTTTTTTTTTTTAATCGTCAGTAGACTTCATAGCCAATTTTGGTCAATTATTTATTACCCTGTGATTCAATTCTTTTTTTTTTTTTAAGTCTGTTTGAGTTTATGCAAGTGGTCTATGTCATGTTCTCTACAACATTTTTCATTTTTGCGGGCATAGCCCGCACCGCCCGCGGTGCGGGCGCTTAGCTAGTATATATAGTTTGTCACAGCCCCTGGTTTGTTGTCATCTTCTCCCTCTCTGCCTACGGTTTACGGGGCAGCTTTGTTTGACGATATATATATATATATATATATATATATATATATATATATATGCCCGGTAAACCGTAGGCAGAGAGAGAAAAGGACAACCAGCGAGGGGCTGTGACAAACTGTTTCGTCGAAGTTTCACCGACTATATATATATATATTATATATCTATATATCGTCACAAACAGAACTGCCCGGTAAACCGTAGGCAGAGAGAGAGAAGAGGACAACAAACGAGGGGCTGTGACAAACTGTTTCGTCGGAGTTTAATATATATATATTATATATCTATATCTATATCTATATATATATATCTGTTTGTGACTATATATATATATCCTTCTCCCTCTCTACCTACGGTTTACCGGGCAGCTCTGTTTGATGATATATATATGTATATATATGTATATATATGTATATATACCACTAGGGTCCAGGGTTGGCCCCGGCGGTGAGGGCGCGGGTAACATAAGGACCGAGCATTTGCCAGTAACTCCCTTTTCATCTTCCCCCGGCCCCATCAAATAAAGCACTGTCCAGAGCCAACATTCTCCCACACGCTAGACGCAACCCACTCACACTCACACCCGTGTTGGCTGAAGACCTCGAGGATCCAGCTTACTATCGCAGTTGGATGGCCCCAAGTGGAAGGCAGGAGAGGAATACAATCTCGAAGGACCGAATACAATCTTTCAGTTTCGGTTATTGAAAAACAAAAAAAAGTGGGCGTCCTTAGAGAGAGCACGGCTGGTCACATGCCATGCTGGAGATAAAATGGCAACACCCAAAGACCCTGGCCCGACCACTCCAGTTGCTTGCTGTACGTAGCTACCAAGTGACTTGGTTTCCAACTAACCACTTACCAAACGGGGCCACCCTGAGGGTCATTTTGGGAAGCATGAACGTAGCGGTAATAGCCATCATGTTCGTGATTTCCTCGCGTGCACATAGCACCAGTGTGGTCTGACCCTGATTGTGGTAATGAAAATCTAAAGGCTGAGAAAGACTCTGGGATGGGATGTGACAAACTCAAAACAAGTGATTCCACAAAGATCTCGTCGTAGGTAAATCAATCGTGTAACACCTAACAATCCCCGGTCGAGGCGGTGACGGTGCAGTGCTCTACCGCCGGGCGCAATCAGGTTGTTCTTCTCCCTTGAGATGGCAGACAGCCGTCGACCTGATTATTGGGTGTTGGAACCCAACCAGAAAGGCAGAAAGGTTTGCACTTTGAAAGTAGTTATTACTGTGCATGGAGCTCTTGTACCAGAAGGCTGTAGAATTAAATAAACAGCCGACGAGATGCAACGAGTGGAAAGCCGCCCTCTTGTCTGCATACGTCGTCGGGAGAAACGAGAAGACATAAGAGCACGAAGCAGAAAGGGACATCGCATCTCTTTCGACTCTCAGGGTGCTCTTCCCTGTCGGTCTGACTGCTTTCATCCATCCGCCCATCGCTCCACCCATCCAGCCGTCCATCCATCAATCGACCATCACCGTAGGAGGTGGATATGGCGGCAAAGACAGTGGGTTCCATCGTGGCTCACGGCGCGGAAGCGCCTTGGCAATCATGTGTGTCGACACGTCAGAAGTCTTCGTCTGCCGCACGATCGTCCTCTGTTGGTCGCACCTGTTTGACGTCGAACTGTCGGGCATCACCCGACAACACTCACTCCTACTCCCCCTCGTACTCGTTGTCATCGGCGTCGTCCGGGGGCGCGCGGAGGCTTTGCCTGCGGGGCAGCGGACAGGCTCAGCTGTGGGACAGAACGCGTGCATGTCGTTTGCGTTGTACCTATGTGCGACGAGCTTTGCCGGTCAGTAAACGCCTGTCAGGGGACGAGCCAGACGCTAGCCGGACGACAAGACGTGGGCGGCAAGGGTGGCAAGGGCGGCGGGTGGCGACATGCGCCAGCATCGATGGTCAGTCTACAACGGAGAACACGAGGGAAGGCAACACAGAGAGGGCGACAGTGGGCGACACTCAGCCGCCGCCCTCCCGCGGCAATCACGGCGACCACCGAGTGCTGGTCGTTGGCGCGTCGGGCGGCGTCGGACAGCTGCTCGTTGCCGGCTTGCTACGGCACGGGTACAAGGTTCGAGCCCTTGTGCGTAACAAGGAGAAGGGCGACAAACTGTTCGGTGCTGATCACGACGGCGAGCGTCTGCAGCTCTGCCACGCCGACGTCCGCTTTCCCGACACTCTGACGCCCTCCCTCTTCGAAGGGATCTCTTTTGTCGTCATCGCCCTGGGGACCACCGCTTACCCTTCTAAGCGGTGGGACGGCGACAACGGGCCAGAACAGACAGATTACCACGGGGTTCGAAACCTCGCCGCTGCCGTGCCTGCCGCGGTGAAGAGAGTGGTTATGGTGTCCAGCATCGGGATCGAGCGGAAGGAGAGCTTCCCTTTCACCCTGGTTAACATATTTGGAGTGTTGTCGTACAAGAAGCTGGGAGAGGAGTGCGTGCGACAGTGCGGCGTTCCGTACACCATCATTCGAGCTGGGCGGCTGACTGACGGGCCGTACACGTCGTACGATCTGAACACTTTGTTGCAAGCCACGTCAGGTGATCGCAAAGCGGTGATCCTAGAGAAGGGAGACACTCTCGGGGGGGACGCCAGTCGAATAAGCGTCGCAGAGGCTTGCATCCAGGCTCTGCAGCTAGAGTGCGCGGCAGGGCAGGTCTACTCCTTGAACACCGGAAAGGGCGACGGGCCGGGCTCTGACTACCTACTCTGGGAGAGGCTTTTCGAACGAGCGACAGCAAAGTGATCGGTTCTTTTTCGGTTTTGATTTTTATAAAAAACGGGGAGAACGTAAGCCGAAAAACGAAAGACCTCCTAGCCCATCTCTTCTTTGTGTTGATAAGAAGACAAGAATAGAGATTCAGACTGCTTGGGCTTTACCGTTGTGCAGTGTAGTCCTTTCCCACTGAAGTTGTGGGTATTAGAGCAAGGCAGTAGTTATAGCATATCGTTACATGCATCTCTGCCTACGGTTCACCGGGCTCTTTCCTATGACGATATATATATTATATAGCATATATCATAGTACGAGGTGAAATCTTCCAGTGTCATCTTGAGGTAGACTCAGAGTAGAAATTTTGGACCGAATACGTCTTCGAGAGCCTCGAGTACTCCTTCAGCAGCCGCATCCCGTCCCTTTCGTCCTATCTGCCGAGCAGAACCCCCCTGCTTGACCTGTAGTATAAGAGGGACTACCGAAACAGCACATGCCATCTCCTCTCCACGCCCTCCTTCCTGATCAGGCTCCCCGTCAACCAAGGTAGTGTAACATACTATTGAACAATCCCCTATTCGTTCTTCCTCTGTGCTTCATCTCTCTCTCTCTCTCTCTCTCTCTCTCTCTCTCTCTCTCTCTCTCTCTCTCTCTCTCTCTCTCCGCCTGTGCATCTGCCCGCCTTTCTTTCTTTGTTTCTTTCTGTCTTTCTCTCTTTTTCTCTTTTCGCTCCTTCTTTCTCTCTCTCTGCTCTTTTCTTCTCTCTTTTTCTCTCTTTCTCTCCTTTTACTCCTTCCCTCTTTTTCTTTCTCTTGTTTCCTTTTTTCTTTTTTTTCCTGTCCTGCTACTCTGTTTCTTCGAGGCCAAGGAAGTCAGCTCCTGTCGGTGTGTAGCAGCAATCTTAGAAGGTAGGTAACACATCAAGACATTTCCTTTCATTCAAACGTACGTGTAAGTATGAGGACCTTGACTTCTTAGTAGTCGTTAGCTATCAGTCAAGTCCTTTCTTCTTTATACCGATGCATCTGTTCATTCGTGTATCCTGCCCATGGATCCATTTATCTACCTTCACCATCCGCTTGCTTCTCCACCTCCGTCCTCTCTCTGCTTATCCTTCACCCACCTGTGTTGAACCTGTCCCCACGTCGGAGGGGCACCCTGCGTGCAGCAAAGCGCCTTTCCTTTTCACACGCCAGATGCAACGGACGCGTCGAGGGTTTCCGGATTACTGGTTTTGGTGTAAGGCCCTGAATAATTTCAACACCAGGGTCGAAGGTTGTTGGACCAGCTGGGTCAGGTAATCTCCGACTTTGTCGAGGGCTTCTTTGGATGTTGGAATTTTCTGTTTCAAGCCCTAGTGCTACCCTGATGCTGGCCGGTACTGGTACACCGTCCAAACCACACGTGCAGGGTTAACTCGCCAACGGTGCTTCAAGGCTATGATTGCTCACATCTATCTTTTTTCTTTGTTTCAGCTTCCATCGTTTTTTCATGGGTTGACCGTTGTTGCCGTTCTACGGATTCCGTGCCTCACTAACGAGCCTAGTGCACTTGGTATACGCATGAATTGTTAAAATACACACCTGAGTTTCGAATCCCGATAGAAGAAGATAAACAAGAATTCTCTGTCTTGTCTTTCTTGTTTTGTTCTTTATTTTTAAATAACCAGAACCCCATTACTAGGGAAAGTGATACGAGCAACCTCCCGTTGTACGGGTTCTAGTGTTCGCCGTGGGATTACACGGCTGTGTGTTCAGTCGCGTCTGTTGATCTGTCCGCTTTCTTTGACATATGACATTGACATATTAGTGGGGAGCTGAACTTGCTGGAAAGCGGATCCAGCGTCCCTTTTTCCTTCATTTTCATGATTTGGCTTTGAGTGTGTTCGTCCACAATTCGCGTGTTTTCTTGCAGTGAGTACACTTATCGCCGGCTTCCAGTGTCCTATCTTCTTTTCTTTCTTT